TCTGCAGCAGTGTGAACGTGACAACGCTTGTCTTCCCACATAAGTCTGTGAACATTATCTTGTTGCAGAAATGTTGTTTGATCCTATTCTTAATGTACTACATACACCCTATAAGGTTCCTGTTAAGAACCTGCTGCATCCAGAAAACTCTTTAATTTTTTCAACGATATCAGGCTCAGGGTTTTGTTCCTTATCATTTTCTTCTAGATATTTCATAACATTTATAAAAACATCTATCTTTTATTCATCTGCATGCTGTCTTTTTTTTTTCGACTTGGAAACTGCAGTGGTATGTCTTTAGTTCCAGTTCTGAAGTTGATGCCACATTGATGATAATACACAGCATCTACAGCACATAAGTATTGAGCATATTATTATCTACTGGTAACCATAACACTCCATTCACCATTACTCTATCTACAAGTGTATTTAATTGTTTCTTTGAATATATCTATTTTGACAGAAGAAACCCCGGTATATTTTATGTCTGATCTTTTTAGTTTCTTTGCAGCAGTTTTGTTTCTACACCTAACGTCATTGCTGTTTTCACACAAAATATACGGTGCTGACGAAATTCATTCTTCTGACCTTAGCTGTCGGCGTGGTTCACTTGCCACTTCTTTTGTTTTCTTATTTTTCGTTGACCCAAGTACGTTGACATAAAATGTATTTCACTTCTTTCAACATCGCCCTTACTTTTTACGCTGGCATTATTTGTTTTCTCACTCCTTTTATTGCCTAAAGAAACAATATTTTCATTTTGAAACACTGTTTTTTCTTTGCATAGCACACGCACAGACACACACATATATATATATATATATTCGGTATTTGAATGTTCAGTGTTTGAAGACAACACTGGGACAAGGATCCTCGGTTCTTTAGGCACAATACTGGGACCAGGATCAACATTCACATCTGATAAACAATGAAGAGAAATATAATCCAGGTTTTAGAGAGTCTTAGTATGTAAATATCTCAAGCAACATTTACATTATTGTGCTATAATTAAACCAGAAAGATGTATAATAATAGTAACATATAAGTTAAGTTACCACAATGTGCTAAAGATACAAATTGCATATAGTTTGCCAGGGCTTTTCTTGTCAAACTTTTGATATGTTGATACCTGGACCTTACTAAGACGCATTGTAAAGAAACACTTCTTGTTGCTTATATTTTAAACTTTTACCTGTACTTAACCCTAGCTCTCTTGTACTATAAAGGTAAAACCTACAAAGTTTAGCCTAAATTACGATGTACCAAACGTTTCATTTTATATATATATGCTACAACAAGCTGATAATTTTGAACATTACTGCTAATTTAATGCTACATTAATTAACTAACATTTGATAAGTAATATATTCATTACAACACCAAACAGCATGGGATATATCATAAAGTTATTGCTACATGAAGTAACATGAGTTATATATTTATTGTTAAACATAAACAAACATTTGATCTATATCACGTTCATTGCTACGTCAAACAGTATATGGTGTATCGTATTAACAGCTACATCATACAAAGTGTGATATAACACAGTCATTGATATATCAGGTAACGTTTGATAAATATCATATCCACTGCTACTTACAAACGAAACGAGAATAATTCAATCAAAATGGGATATATATAATTGTTAAATTTATTGAACGTCCAGCATGGGATGCAGCGTATACATAATCACATTAGCTATGTAAGATATGCCATTTATTGCTATATCACTGTTCTATATAAGAGAGATTAGTCAGTATGCCTCTCAAAGAAACAATGTAGTGTGACGTCAGAATCACGAGATTACCCGTCAACAACATACCTCCCAAAAAACAATGTAGTGCGGCGTTAAAGTCATGAGATGATTGGCCGTGGAGAATTGACAAACAAAATATGAGTACGCACTTTGTCTCAGGTCATTTTCTCTTGGTGTCGCTAAGAGAGAGAACTTCTGGGGTTCTTCTAAAAAAGTTGACACGATTGCTTATGCTACTACACAACTCTTCTCATGCTTATCTAAATCAAATAGAGAGATAATTAGTATATACTATCAACAAGTCATGCTACTAAGTTATAGTCCTAATGCAGTCAGATAGTCCAAGAAATACAGAAACACGATGTAATCCACTCCATGTGACGAGAAGTATTCTTCGTGTCAAAAGTGAACACAAATTTTATTCTACGTAAATCCAACAACTAGTCACAGCGAGCATTTTTTTTTTACATATGTTGTCAAACTATATCATCTGAAACGGAAATGTTTCGCCGATTAACTGTTTGTAATGTATTCAAAAATTCTAACAGGTAAGAGAGAGAGAGAAAGAAATTGGTAAATAATCGGACAACAAAACATATATATATATATATTATTAACTCAATTGTCGCTTCTGGTTGCTGCTAGAAATTTGATGCATTTTGATTCGTATATATATCTCTATTAGAGAAGCGAGTGTGTTCAGGTTACGACTTACTTCACGTCGTTGCCTAGCGCCCAACCTGCCAAGTTACTAGAAAATTCACATGATGAATGAGTTCCACTTGTTTCATACATATTTCATGGCCAGAAATGGGATGTTTGAAGAGAGGGGAAAAGAGAAAAAAATATTCCGTCTACAGAACCAAGTCTTGGAGACGTTTATGCCAGTGAATTTTCTTACATTTCAGTAAAATCCGGATGGCTGTATTGCTGTAATTTAAGAAAGAGCAATGGTAACCGTTGCTTGTTTCCTGTTTTCTCGTATAATGAAGTCTGCTAATAATATAAAACGCGAATAATGGCGTGGAACAAATTTTGTGAACGCGTACCTTATTGTAAGCTTTCATTGATTTGATCCGGTGTCTCGCAGGTACAGCTGTGGGTAGTTTGGTTAAGTAAGGTAAGGAGATGGGAAAAGAACATAAACGTGTTCTGTTCGAATGTGTTACTGTTCATAGATATCCCACATACTTAATGTGGCAGCGTTAAAACTCTTCAGAGGTAATAAACTACTGTCTGTTTATTTCATGCTCTTCACTTTCATGTTTTCTTTCTTTCTTTTCGCAATTTCTATGTACGAAGTTAAATATATATATGTATACACATCAGACACACACACATATATATATAAATTTACATTTAATAAATGTGTTTTTCTCTTGCCACGATAGGTGCTGCAAAATGTGGCGTTACACTGACTTAACGTTTGTGTGTTTTCAAGTGTCTTTACGTTGTTTCAAGTGTGGGGCCAAATATTCTGTACACAACAAGATAAAACTCAACGGTTACTTAGACTTATATATTCTATATGAGGTGAAAACATTTGTATACATACATCTATAACGAAAATCTGAATCTTGCTTTTAAAAACTTCAGAATTTTGTAAGACCGGTAACAAGCAAGTTCAGCATATGGATCTCTTATTGCTTATTTCTTAAAAACTTTTCACGTTATATATGAATCAATATTTTTAAAACCAACTGGGACAGCTCAAATTTCTCATTCTCTAGGGATAACTGAAAAGTGGGTTATAAGTCGCATAACATGCTGTGCATACAACTGTTGTCACCTTTTAGTTTAATTATATTAGAAAATTAAAGCTGCTCTGTACGGAAGGTAGGGCTAGGCCTATAAAGTAGCGGTTTGAGACTGGTACTGCAACTGAACTGGACACGTGATTGAAATTTAACGTTACAAGTCCTTTCTTGATTAACCCAGTTTATTTTTCCTCCATAAAAACTTTTAGTAATACACAGAATTTCCACAGTCACTTTAAACTTAATAACTTTTATAACACACGCTATAAATCACAGTGCCTTACTTACGGTGCCTACTGTTCACTTGACTCAATTATCTTTTTCTTCAATCCCGCTGGTTTTTCCCGCCAGGCTTATATACTAAAAAGAGGACGTCTTGAATACGCTCGGGTTTTCATGATCGTTCGAGAAATTTCAGCGCGCATGCTCCCAGCGTCACGCGACTTCCGCTGTCGTAACAATAATAATACAGATATTTGAACTTATTAGTGTCCCAAACAATGTGTGTAGGGGTCTTATTAAAATGTTATATGATGATGAGTCGTCTCTAAATGTTTTATGTGGTGAGTATATCGTTACAATTTGCTAGGGTTTAATAAAAAAACTTGTGTGGTGAATGTTATATGATAAGGAGTCCTCTTAATAACAAAGTAATTCTCTAGTGATGAGTCTCTTTAATTTTTTTTCCTGTGGGGAGAGAAATTATGAAAATATTATTAAGTGGTGATAGTAAAATTAAGAGAAATTATTATTTCATAGGATTAATTGTTAATTGTGTTACTGGGTATTTTTACAAAATAGGTTTTTAATAGTGGAATATTATTATGAAATATATTAATAAACGTCATATTTTGAGAGATATTATTATATACGACAATGCGGTTCTTTGGTAATGTTTTTCTATGTCTTAACTATATATAATTTGACTAAACATTATGATGTGTACAATAAACGGCGGTGAAGACGGAACCTCATTTAAACTTTGTGACGATTCATATATATATATTATTAAATACTTCAGAAAATTAATGTCAGTATTTTCTGGTTCAGATGTGAAGTTATTACCTGCCTCGCCTGTGAGCTGATTATTACCAGTTTTATTTTGCATTGTACTGATTTTCATTTGTTTCCAGGATAATTATCTATCACCGTATTGTACGCCAGTATCTGTTGTAATGAAATTAACATTGGGAATTTTAATAACAACATTTTAGTTGTTTTTTCCTCCTTTAAGAAACATTATTGGGTCAATTATTAGTATAAAAATACACTATCCGTAATAATAAAAAAATTGCACATATCAATCAATACATTTTACTCTATCAGTACTTTCTAAAATGATAAGTGAAATTTTGTATTTTACTGAACTCATTAAAATTGCATAATATTATCGATTTTTATATCAACTATAATGCACCTGTTATTGAAAAAAGCGACATTAGCAGTTGCATTAGGTTTTGATTTTTTCTTCTCTTTACTCTCAGTGGGTCGAGGAAAGTTTCACAAACTTCGAGCAAGGGATCAATTGGAGATCGTTTGTGGTCTGTGATGTCGCCTACACAAACGTTAACAACTGGTTATGGACGCCATTTATCAAGCGTGGCGACGCCAGTCGGATGTACATCGAAATAAAATTCAGCATGCGAGACTGCAATCTCTTTCCAGGCATGGCTTTATCATGTAAAGAGACTTTTTCTTTACTCTACTACGAGTTTGACGCTGCAACTAAAGAGCCCCCACCTTGGGAACCAGAGTCTTACAAACTCGTCGATCGAATTGCAGCCGATGAGGGGCGGTTTACGTCGTCTAACGAGGTTATCATCAACACTGAAGTTCGAAGTATTCCAGTTACCAAAAAAGGTGTTTATTTTGCCTTCCGCGACCAGGGAGCATGCTTGTCTTTAATCGCCATTAAAGTCTATTATGTCACTTGTCCCAACACGACGATTAATTTTGCCTTTTTCTCCGATACTTCCACCAGTGAACAGGTAACAGAAATTGTTGAAGTGGAGGGGCAATGTGTTCCTAATGCTGAAGTCGTAGAGCTTCCAAAAATGCTCTGTAAAGGAGACGGAAATTGGACGCTTCTTGCTGGTGGGTGCAAGTGCATGCCGGGATATGAGGCTGTTGGACAAACTTGTGAAGGTAAGTGTAGGATTTTGCTGGAAATATAAAATTTTCGGTATCTTTCTAATTTTATAGACTTTCGATTACTTATTGACAAATAGTTATCTGAAGACTTAAAAAATGTGAAACGGAAGTCAGAAAAACATTCTCTCAGCAATGTACACTTCGCGCATTCACAATCTGCTGTGGAAAAAAATTTACAAATCCTTAACACAATCTTATCGTGTTTTATTAAAATAGTTCATCATTGAAAGATTGATAATGATAATTAACGTTTGAATTAAGTATAGTAAAACTAGGTGGTATCATAAAAGACCTCCCCAGTGGCACAGCGGTATGTCTGCGGACTTACACCCATAGAAACCGGGTTTCGATACCCGTGGTGGGCAGATCACAGATAGCCCATTGTGTAGCTTTGTTCTTAACTTCAAACAAATAAAGGACCTGGAAGATCTAGCCAGAATGTAATAAAAATAACGCGTTTTTATGTTGAATACATTAATTTGATAAAAATGCTCAATCTTAAAACTAACCTATTTTTATAGTATTGTCCAAAATATGGCATTTTAGGTGTTTTGAGTTTAACAGATATCTCGTTTAATTTTACTTCAGAATATTATTTATCTGTTGTGAGTACACTCAAAGGGTCTCAGTTCTCAATCACGATCACTAAGTGTGCAGTACATTATAGAATAAATGGAGAAGTCATAAACATGTTTTGGAACGACTTTAGGTTTTTATTTCTGGCTGTTGTTATTGAAATGAGGAGGCGATATCAATACCTGATCCCTCATGTGCATTACACGTATGTTGGTATTGTATTGATCCCTCATGTGCATTACACGTATGTTGGTATTGTATTGATCCCTCATGTGCATTACACGTATGTTGGTATTGTATTGATCCCTCATGTGCATTACATGTATGTTGGTATTGTATTGATCCCTCATGTGCAGTACACGTATATTGGTATTGTATTGATCCCTGATGTGCGTACACGTATGTTGGTATTTACGTTCAGGTGGGTAGGTATGTAGTTTCGTTTTGATCCGTACAAAACGCGAGTAATGAAAATACATGTTCAGTTTTGAAAGAGATGAGACTTTACTCATGGAAGTCTTGTATTTTTTTAGAGTATTATATTTTTGGTCTTAGGCATTCCGTGTAATTATGTCCTCCAAGTGAGTTAAAACAAAAACACTATTTATATGAAACGTAGGATAGAAAGTCCTCTTTAGATACTAAAAATTCAAGTTCCACTTATTATTAGCGATGTTTTATTGATAGGAACTGCAGAAAATTGCAAAAGAAAATCTCTTTAACTGACGATAGGTGTTCAATAATTGTTAAATGATCAAAGGAAAGGTCACAACAACTACGCGCACTTCATCAAATAGTTTTAAGAATATATTCAGTAAGAAATTGATCATTACTTGCCAAAAAGAAACGTCAAACCCGATGCACAAGTTTAAAAAAAAACGTTAGTAACTTCATTACTGGATTAGTTGTCTGATTGCTGCATAAATAAGGTTGTGATCGATATGATGTGTTTTCCAGGAGAACAACTTGAAATATTCTGTAAATTTGCAGTACAACATTATAATGAGTTGCGAGAAAACACATTAAACTCCGTGTATATAAAGAACGAATAAGATAAGTGAGTGAAATTTGCAGCAATGGAAATGAATGATATTATGTTTCGTGCAGCTTAGAGACTACTGTTAACATTTAAAAGTTGAATAGAATTGTAGCTTAAAGCCAGTTTAAGATACTTACGTTGCTTCCTATGATACTTTTGGTTCTGTATTCTATTACAAGTAATTAAAAACATATCACTGACAAAAACTGACGTGAAGGAAAACACTTCGAGACACGTGAAAGGAAGTGTATTCATTCAGCGACAGCAGGAAAATTGAAAAGAGTGTTTGAAAGTTTAGTAGCTTTATTAAAAAATCAACACAAAAACTGTTCAAAATCATGCCATTGTCAATTCGACTGACGCTTTTTTACTATCCTTCACGATTAATGAAGTTCCAAGACTCATCCACTTGATGTGTTAGTATATTCTTTACAAAATCCTCACAATCAATTAGGTTTCATGACCTATTAACTTCATGTGCTAATAGATTATTTAAAAAAAAATAGGTTCGATTACCATTAACTTGATACGTTACTACATTTTTAAAAATATTTCACAATTTGTTAGGTTTCAAGACACACTAAGTTGATGTGTTACTACATTCTTAGAATAAATATTCCAATAATGCATAGCTTAGCGAAACGTAAACTTATGTACGCAGAAACGTAGAGTTTATTTTCGACAATTGACTTCCTATTATCCGAAAAAAACAAGCAATGAAAAGCAACAGAGTAGTTCCACGATTGTAAGTAAAAAGCTTTTGTGTTGCTGGGAAATACAGAGGTTAGCGAGTCAACTTTTGATGAGTGAATATTATAGAAAGGTTAAATATGTTCAAATTACTTAAACTGAATGATAAACCACTAAATAATACGAGTGGAATTTAATTTCAGCTCAGGGTGCTCTCTCTGTTTATTTACTTTTAGGTGCATAAGCGTGTGTATCCTGAAATACAATCTGCTGGAAGCTATTTAGGATTGTTTATTTCATTTCGTAATAAATGCAAATTCTGACTTTACATTTTCAATAGATGGCAAGAAGCATGTTTTATTATAAATTCATACGTCTGACACTCGCTACTAATTACAAGATTCTGCATGATGGTCTGTCCATATTGCTTTTGCTAGGAATTCGCTGTATTATTTTACTTTACGTGGTCTGACACTCGCCATTAATTGTTGGATCTATTATGTGAATGTTTATCCTGATTGGTAGTTTTATTATTGAACTTTTCATTGAGTTTTTTCAACCTTTATTGTTAGTTTAGGATGTTACAATACCATTTTCATACAGCTTTCTATTCTTTATCGATATTTTTGATTTTCTCTCAGTGTCGGTCTTGAAGAGCATGTTGGTATGTTAGTAAGCCTATTTATGTGCAATTAACACATTATAGACAAGACATAATAATGATAATATACTGCTTTGTTATAAGGTCAAACTAACGAAAGAAAGAAAATCACTGCGACCTAAAGTTTTCTTTGAATACATCTATTATACATGTGTTTTGTTACACAAACAAAACTACAAAATAAATCAACATAAACTACAAGTAGCCTAAAAAACGTAAGCATGGTAAGTCAGTGAAGAATAATAAATAAACTTGAATTGAAATTGCACAGTACAACACAAACAAACAAGAGAAGTTATTCCAGTTGCAAGAAGAAAAAACTGTGTACACACACACATATACATATGTACACTTTCGCTATATATATATATATATATATATCCCCATTTCAGACCACAATTAACAGTACTGAGCTTATAACACTTTTCATGGTCTGTGGTTTTTCCTTATCATTTTTCTGTTACATTTTCTGAACACAAGCTTTGGAATTTATATGTGTTGCTTCCTGACTAAACTCAATCATTATAACTTGCTTTGTTCGGGCAAAACACATTTCTCTCGGTAGATATAATAGCAAAGACTTCCAAAAAATTTTGTTTCCGCTAATCTAATATCAAGTTATTCTCGGTTCCAATTATTTCCTTTGCTTTCAAAACCAAAAGCTATTCTGTTAAGTCTGTCTTCTCTAATGAGAAAGATTTGTTCCTCCTGGCTTTTCCGATGTTTGTTTTATATTGGCAAAACGTTATAGGAATTGCTTTGGGCCCCACAACTATTTACTGCCAGATGAGCATTGAGTTGAATCTACCAGAATATTGCTGGTAAATAGCAGACGTATCTTGGCCTCTAAGAGCTAATCGTTTTGGCTGTTTTTGAATTACTGACCATTAACCCAAGCTGTTAATGCAAGTAGTACATTATTTTCGCGTGAGTCAACTAATGTAATTTCATCAATATTACGGATTAAATAACAAAATTAACCTTAAAGTTCAGTGACTATACTTACGCCCTCTTAAGCTTACCCACAATTAAGATCTTTCTATGGGATCAACTGTTAATATTTCCACGGGATTCTTATTATACCGATTCATTGTGAAATTATGCCTCACGTTTAAATTAGCCATTTGTTAAACCATTTCGTAGAATAAATATATAATGTAAAATAATTCTGAAGAACTTTTCGGCTGAAATTAAGCTCTAACCAGATCCTAACGAAAGAATGTCACTGGTTCATTTAACTGATAAAACCTAGTTTATAAGATCAGTGAAGATGTTTTCAAGAGATAGAAGGATATCTATGAACAGAGAGGGTGGAATGAGGTCAATGTCCAGTAAGTCATTCATCATCGACATTGACCAAATGCCCTGGAGCTTAACTGCCCTGTAGTTCTATGCAGAGGCCCACCTGTTCAGCAATGCGCAAAACGTAATTCCCGCCTAAATAGGATCATCTTATTCAAGTACATACTTACGCACCCTTTAAATAATGGGTTGCAATGAGCACGTTTTCTCAATTACCTGTTGACAGGTTGCTAAGCCTAATCCTGCTGCTTTGTTTATTCAACGTCTCTGCTCTTCTGTCCGCCCAGCCCGGTTTGACCTTGCGACCGTGCGCCCCTATGCACGTGCATTTTACTTACAATCTTGTCGATTGTCATGTCGTATTCTTTCTTTCTGACTAACTGCAGTTCAAGGATAAAAGTCTAACCTCAGTTACTCTGTACGTTATTAAAATACTGGTTTTGTTAATTTACGTATTAATGTGTCTAAACTATGTGTAGCAGGTTCTCCTTTATTAAAAAAAGGTCAGGGGTCACAGTTTAGAAAATTATTTGACCATTACATGCGTGTAATTTACAGACAGAATAATGTAAAACATTTTGTATTTTCCAATTGGGGAAAATGTGAATTGAGACAGAAATAAAAATCAAGCTTCTTTAATCCTAACTCTTGTATATAACCCTCCTCATCACACCTGGGTTCCACGTGGATGCCAACAACTTTCTTGGTTGTATATCTTTTTACATA